TGACATACAAAGACTTCATATCGATTCTCAAGACGTATACATATCGACAATCCTCATTAGCTTATATGTTTGTATATATACTTGTAACATTCACTTTTGGCTGGTAATACGAACCACCCCTACAAATCGATTTGTAGGGGCGGCCTGGGAACCGCCCCTACAAATGTATGATTTGTAGAGACGGTTTGGTAGGGGCGGCTGGCCAAACCGCCCCTACAAAGGGTTATCAGCTACCCCTAAAAATGCTTTTTGTAGTAGTGTTAGTAGCCTCAGAAGCTGCAAGGCAGGGTTTTTTTTTTTTTGTATGGTCTTGTTTGCCGGTATCCCCAGCCTCGTTGTGTACTTTTACATTGCTTTATAAAAGCAGTGTTTTTCTCCATAAAAAAATGTACAAATACTAATACTACTATTTTCTATAGACATAATCAAATTTAGAATTGTCAAACTAATTGAGGAGCTTGATTTATATTTTTTTTGGACGGCGGGAGCATCATTTGACTAGATTCCTAGAGAAGCTAGCTTGTCCAAAATCTCCAATAGAACCCAGGGCAGCTCTCGACGAGATGACAGAACCCACTGGTCTGCACGACAGCACCAAGCATGCCCCGCGAAGCTATGAATCCAAGACAAGCATTCTTGAGCTGCATGCAGCGGTGCTGCTCGGCTAAAGCTAGAGTAGTCGCCACCGTGTCCGCGTCGATGCTACGGCACATCCCCACCTCGCACACGAGCCTCAGCCTGTCCAGCCCATACCGATCCGCGGCCACCAGCAGGTGCTGCATCGGCACATTCCTGTCCTTGTCGCCGTCCGCGGGCAGCGCCGCCCGTCACCGTCCGGCAGAGTGTCCGTGTACACGAAGTGAAGCGGCGCCTCGAAGATGGAAGGCTCCATGTCGTCGACCTTGACGCGCGCGCTATGCCTTCTCCTTCATGGGGCCAAAGAGCTCCGGCCTGAACACCGCGGACCTCGCGGGCGACAGCACGCACCGGTGTGCGAGGAACGACCGCCCGCCTACGACGAACGTCACGTCCGCGCCGTCCCCGGCCCTGAGCATGCTCGCCAGGTCCTGCAGCACGCTAGGCTCCGAGACGACGATGGCGCTCACGTCCTCGACATGGGGGGTCTTGGATGACGGTCAGGATGCACCTGACCGTGAAGCGTTCGTTGTTGTTGCGCACCATCCTTCGGAAGAGGCAGGATTTATATATGAATGTGGGCCAGCCCCTGCCTCCTAATGCAAAGGCCTTTGATAAGATAATTTTATTGCAATGTATTTGTGTATCTTATTATATACTATGCCATGTTAAAAAAATATTGTTAAATTTATTTATGTAATTATGAACACTTTAAACCATGCGCAATATTACTCCAGATCTAAGATAGACAACTATGCTCTGCACTTTAATCTTTTTTCGCTAGGGGCACTTAACACTGTTAAGTGGCAGAAATAGACGGAACGCCATACAGTCAGATTCGTTTTCGGGCCTTATAGGGGGTGCTTGGGACTATTTCGCTCCAGCTCCGTGTTGCCAAACACCCCTAGCTCCGAGAACTCCGCTCAAAAAAAGGTGGAGCTTGAGGCTAACTCCACGTTTTTTTCTGTGGTACGTCAAGAGGTACTCCAGTTATTGGAGCTTTGTACTCTCACATGAAGTTATAGGATAATTACCCACCTTGCCACTCGTTAATCACCGATTAGTTTCCCTGATTGCGTCCCCTACCCGTACGCGTGAAGGCCGCGAGCCACGACTCTTCCGTAGATACGCAAATAGGAGGCTACTGCTCCCGTTTTCATCCATGTATTTCATCCACGTACAAAGCGATTGGTACTTGGAAACCGATCAAAAAGTCATAAAAAAATAAAAATATAAGGAAAAATATTAATAATCCTTGGAAAAAGTAATAATCATTCATAAATCAGCAAACGAATCCCCAGAACCTTTAAACTTTAAAAATTAATTAAACTATTGTAAGACCATTTAAAAGTTAAAAACCAGAACTATTAAGTGCAATTTCAATCAGGGGCATAATGGGCCATTTGCATGCAAATAACCAATTTCTGGAGTTAGAGCTAGGCTGTGTACCACCTGCTCCACAAACTCTATGTTTGAGTTGCTCCATGATGGAGTAGCCGATAGGACTACCAGTCGGCCCGTGGAAGGCCGACAGCGCACCAGACACGAGCGACGGTACACCGCCCAGCACCGAGGCGGTGTACACCGGAAGGTGCGGTGTCCGCTCCGGTGTCTACGAGCAGAGAGGACAGGGGCGAGCGGCCTAGTGCCGTGCTTGAGTGCTGCTCGGACAGGGTTTGGTCTGGCCTGGGGGCAAGCGCTGCTCAGATAAGCACGCTCGGTGCCTGGGCACTTGAGCTGGTAGCGCTGCTTCTTCCCCCCATCGATCAAGCCCGTGCTGCACGAACAGAAAGACCGATGCCCTGACGAACGCACAAACACAGAGAGAAGGGCGACACAACGGCACTTGGAAGCTCCTCTCCGGCAAGGAGTCCGTGTACACGAAGTGCAGAAGCCTCCCGATCACGCACGGCTCCATGTCCTCGACCCGGACGCACCCCGTGGCGCTCTCCTCCATGGCGCCGAAGAGCTGCGCCCTAAACACCCTGGACCGCGCGGCGAGCACATACCTGTGGGCGAGGAAGAACCGGTCGCCGATGCTGATCGTCACGTCGGCGGCCTCTAGCATGCGCGCGAAGTCCCGGTGCAGGTCCGACGGCGGAGCGCCTGCCACGGTCGCCGCGTCTTCTGTGCGATGCTTCACGACGGTGGCGGCGCACCGGATTGTGAAGCCGTGCGGTAGCTCTTTTAGCTTGGATTTCTTGATGAAATTACGCCTGCCCCTGTTGTTATGGTGCTCTGTGTCCGTGTCATAGGTTCTTGTGTCCGTGAAGACGGTTCTTGCAGTTGGCACTGCTTGTTTATTTCCTTGTCCTGCTGATCTGTTCTTCTTCTTCTTCTTCTTCTTCTTCTTCTTCTTTTTCCCTTTCTTCCCCGACGACGGCGCTTGACTGTCTTTATCGACCAGCAGGCTTATACTGAACTTAACCCTCACACCTGTTGGTCCGTCAAGAAGACTCAAACGCACCGTCGTATAAGCAGCAGCTTCGTTGTCCTTTGGACAACCGTCGCCGCCGGGGAAGAACTTGATGCTCCATCCGTAGCCGCCGACGAAGAAGGTGCCCGAGCTGACGTAGTCGCCGGCATCCATGTCATCGAGCCAGAAGTCGGTCACCACGAAGTTGTGCGTCCCCGTGATGGCCTGCGTCCGGCATGTCGACCACGTTTTCCGGTAACACCTGGTGGTTGTCAACCGATGTCGAATTACTAGGCCTATAATTAGCCATGGCCGCGCACGATTTTTTTAGCTAAACCTTCAACACACACACCGTTCATGGTGGTGCTGGTCGATGTCCTCTTATATACCTGCAAATTCGAAAAATACTATTCTACCTGAACTAGGACTCCGAGACCAACTGGAATACAGGGTAAAGAATCGAGTCGTTACCAGACATGCATTTTAAGCTGTTGACCAACCAGAAAATATGGAGAATTGTAACAGGACATGTTAATTTTGGGTTCTGATGATGATAATTGTCCATGGTGGAACATGCACTGCCGTGCTGGAGATTACCAAACGATAATGCTTGGCCACGGGCGTCCGCCCCATCCGGACGCCGTGCGCCTCAGTCCGCCTCGTTGCTTTCTCCCACGGGCCTAGGGCTGGACACTCCGTGCACAAACCTTACCGATTACCAAAACAAAAATTTAAAATTACAGCAACTGCTTGCTTCGGCAGATATTACATCAACTAGATATATGCCTGTGCGTTGCACCGGGATCACATTTTTGTTTGGATTGAACCTCAGTAATCGGACACGGATGCGTGAGTTCTAAGAACTTCGTATCAGACGTGGACACGTTGATCCGATCTTCGTAGTAGAACCGGGTAGGACGCGAACATGCGAGCTTCGAGTGCAGGTTGATTCATATTGGATGCGGACGCGTAAGCAGGACTCAAAACTTGGTATGACTGGGTATACGATGACGTTACAGTATGCTTAGGTGTAGGGATTCATTGAACTTTTATTAAGTTGGTATATTTTAAATCTCTTAGTTTTAAATGGCGAGATCAGAAAATCTAATCGTCTTTCGAGGTGCTCAAAAGGGTAGGACATGTGTGCGTGTGTTCGTAGAGATGGGTGTACGGACATGTACGAGCATCTTGATACGATCATTTTTTGGGCAAGCGATTCGTTATTTCATCGTTGCACGGTTGTATGAGCAACACAATATGGCAGAGTTTATTTGCATGGAATATAAAATACAATAAAAATAGAAGATTTTACTTGCATGGAATATAAAATACAGCTAAAATTATACACAAAGTAACAAAGATATAGGCCTTGAGCTGGCTATCCTACTCACGTGCACCATCGAAGTTCAAGGGCTCAGATTTCCTGTATTTTTATTGTATTTCTGATTTTATTTTTGAAGGGAAAAATATGGTATATGAGCGTAAGCATGATGCCATGCTGTCGTCACGCTGTAGAAGCAGAGCATGGCATTCGGCACGGCACAGCTGCGCGCACGCACGCACGCACACACGCGGAGGGCCTCTAAACGGCCGATGGGTATCTGTTGGCTTCTGAGTAGCCGATAGGGATATTCGGCCCGTAGAAGGCCGACAGGGTACAGGGGCGAGCGGCCTGGCGCCGTGCTTAGCTGTGTTTTAGTAGCCTCAGAAGCTGCAAGGCAGGGTTTCTTTTTTTTTTTTGTATGGCTCTATACCTTCTTGTTTGCTGGTATCCCCAGCCTCGTTGTGTGTCTTTTACATTGCTTTATAAAAGCAGTGTTTTTCTCAGTAAAAAAAATGTACAAATACTAATACTACTATTTTCTATAGACATAATCAAATTTAGAATTGTCAGACTAAATGAGGAGCTTGATTTATATATTTTTTGGGCGGCAGGAGCGTCATTTGACTACATTCCTAGAGAAGCTAGCTTGTCCAAAATCTCCAATAGAACCAAAGGGCAGCTCTCGACAAGATGACAGAACCCACTGGTCTGCACGACAGCACCAAGCATGCCCCGCGAAGCTATGAATCCAAGACAAGCATTCTTCAGCTGCATGCAGCGGTGCTGCTCGGCTAAAGCCAGAGTAGTCGCCACCGTGTCCGCGTCGATGCTATGGCACATCCCCACCTCGCACATGAGCCTAAGCCTGTCCAGCCCATACCGATCCGCGGCCACCAGCAGGTGCTGCATCGGCACATTCCTGTCCTTGTCGTCGTCCGTGGCAACACCGCCGTCACCGTCCGGCAGAGTGTCCGTGTACACGAAGCAAAGCGGCGCCTCGAAGATGGAAGGCTCCATGTTGTCGACCTTGACGCGCGTTGCGGCCTTCTCCTTCATGGGGCCGAAGAGCTCCGCCCTGAACACCGCGGACCTCGCGGCGAGCACGCACCGGTGTGCCGGGAACGACCGCCCGCCTACGACGAACGTCACGTCCGCGCCGTCCCCGGCCCTGAGCATGCTCGCCAGGTCCTGCAGCACGCTGGGCTCCGAGACGACGATGGCGCATCCCATCGCCACACACTCAGATTCACAAGCAAGCTTGGACGCTCTCAGATTCACAAGCAAGCTTGGATGCTCTGCAGGTCTGCGACCACGCCAGCCTCCAATCTGCAGGTAGTACCTAAGTGCTGCTTCATCTCCCCCATTCTATTCCACATTATCGACTTGCGGTTTATCACCTGTAAAAGTAAAAGTAAAACCAGTGTATGCATGTTGTAATGTTGTACGAGTAACAAGCACAACTTTGTTTTTATTATTAATTTATTATTACTAATTTACTATGCCCAAAGTACTTTGTCTATGTAGTATTTTTTAGCAGAATTTGTCTATGTAGTATATATACAAGATTGTTAAATAGCTGCCTATGCACACACTATGGCTGCCACTTGTTGGCCCACACAGGATCACCGGCTCAGGTGAGTCGACCACTCACCAGTCTTGCCGACCACAACAGACGTTATCCGACCACACACTATGGATGGAGGTAGAAGAAGGGAAGGAGAACAGAGAATACACACACAACAGAGATGCCAGCGTTGGCCGGAGCTCTTCGGAGGAGATGGCAAAACTGAACTCTCTCTTTACTGAGTTGCTGTGGCAAACTATATATACAACTCTATCCATCTAGTCCTATACAGCTGCCATGCTGCTACAATGACTAGATAACATAGCAGAGCTGACTTCCATGCTTGCTCCTGCTGTGGCTATAGTGCGGTAGGTGAGCCGTTCGACGTCTGCCCCTGCATCGGCTACAGTACCACAGCAGGGTACCTTTTCGGCGCCACCTTCCCCTGCCGTGTGTTCACATAAGGTAGCAGTAGATTATCTAATAGTTCTTCCCCTAATTGCTAACCCTTGAACCCCCTCCATGCCGATCATCTCCTTCAGCTCCGTGAACCAAAGACGTCCGAGCAGCTTGGTGAGGACGTCCGTGAGTTGCCGACCAGTTTCGACGAACTCAACGACGATCTGTCCTCCAGCGACACAGTCCCTGAGGAAGTAGAACTTCACGTCGATGTGCTTGCTCCGGTCATGGAGAACCGGATTCTTCGCGAGGGCGATGGCGGGCTGGTTGTCCACCATCAGTGCTGGTGGGTGAGCTTCCACACCGGTTAGCTCGCCCAGCAGCCGGCGCAGCCACATAACTTGGCACGCCGCTGTGGCCTCCGCTACGTACTCTGCCTCGCACGTAGATAGCACCACCATCTTCTGTTTCAGCGACAGCCATAAAATTAGAGCCGACCCGAGGATGACGAGCATGCCAGAGGTGCTCCACCGTCCGTCGATGTCCCCCACCATGTTTGCATCGCTGAAGACAGTGAGCTGTAGCCTACTTCCGCCGGTCTTGGGGAAGACAATTCCCTGATCCACCGTTCCCTTAACGTAGCGCAGTAGCCGCTTCACTGCAGCCTAGTGATCCTCTAGAGGATCCTCCATAAAGCGACTGACGTAGCCCACGGGAAACGCAATGTCCAACCTCGTGTGGACTAGGTAGCACAGACCGTCGATGATACTTCGATAGAGTGTTGCATCTACCTTCGCTGCAGTACTGGCCTTCGTCAGCTTCAGCCGCTCCTCCATTAGAGTCACACATGGCTTGCACTCAGCCATGCCGCTCTGCTCCAACAGCTTCGAGGCATACGCGCTCTGACCGAGCGTGAGAGCCTCCTTCCCCTATCTCACCTCGATGCCGAGGTAGTAGGAGAGTGCATCGAGATCGTGATTGAAGCTGTCGATGTCCTCCACACGCGCGCCGGTGATGATCAAGTCGTCCACGTACACGCTGACAACGAGCTCCTCCTTCTCCCGTCACCGCGTGCTCAGTTGCGCATCTTGTGAACCCAAACTCGCCTAGCGTGGCGTCGTGCTTGGCGTTCCATGCTCGTGGGGCCTGCCGTAGCCTGTAGAGCGCCTTGCGCAGTCGGAGCACCCTGTGCTCTGCTCCCTTGACGGTGAAACCTGTAGGTTGTTTGACGAAGACCATCTCCGCTAGCTCACCGTTGATGAAGACCAATTTAACATCCAGGTGATGGATGCGCCAGTCCTTTGCTGCTGCCAAAGCTAGTAGCAAATGGACAGACTCCATGCGCGCTACCAGCGCAAAAACTTCCTCGAAATCGATGCACTCACGCTGGACAAAGCCTCAGGCGATGAGGCGCGCCTTGTGCTGGACAATGGCGCCGTGCTCGTCCCGCTTGACTTTGTACACCCACTTTAGGCTAATCGGACGACATCCTAGAGGTGGATCGACGAGCTCTCAAGTCTCGTTTTCCTCGATTGCCTTCATCTCCTCCAGCATCGCCCGTCGTTAGTGTCCATCGCGCTCGGCCAGCGCGAACGTGGGTAGTTCCTCAGCACTAACGAGAAGCAGCTCTGGGTCACTGAGCAGCCTACCTGCTAGGCCTGAGGGCCCTGTGCTACCTATGATGTCGTCTAGCCTACGGAACCGCACCTCCTCACCTTCGTGGAAGGCATCCACGAACTTAGTGATGTCACTTGGAGGTGAGGCGAACTCGATTGGCACCGATGGAGTTCCCTATTCTGCCAGAGTGCTCGGCATCCTAGATGCAGTGCTCGGCCCTACTCCTGAATAGCTCGTCACAACTCCTGTAGTGCTTGGCACCACTGTAGGAGTGCACAGCCTCAGTCTTCGAGTGGTCGGCACCACTACAAGACCTCTTGGCTCCGCTACGGGAGTGCTCGGCACCCGTCCTGGAGTGGTCGCCACCACTGCAGGACCTCCTGGCACCACTCCTGGAGTGCTCAGCACCCCTCCTAGAGTGCTCGGCTCTGTTGCTGGAGTGCTCGGCACCCCTCCCGGAGTGCTCAGCACCTCTTCCCCAGCGACTCCACCACCGTGGATGACCAAGTGCTCGACGACGAAGGTGCTAGTGAAGCCGCCAGCTTCCCTCGTGCTCGGACTGTTCCAGTCCCAAGCCTCCTTCTCATCGAACACAACGTCACGCGAGACAAGCACCTTGTCTCCGTGTGGGTCGTAGAGCCGATACGCCTTAGTACCCTCCGTGTAGCCCAGGAACACCATCGGTGTGCTCCTATCCTCTAGCTTGGTGAGGACTGGCTTTGTCTTCCTGACATGGCCGATGCAGCCAAATGTCTAGAGGAAGGACATGCTCGGCTTGCGTCCATGCCAAGCCTTGAACGGCGTCTTGCCCTTTAGGGCCTTGGTGGGCGTGCGGTTGAGGATGAACACCACCGTGGTCACCGCCTCACCACAGAACCTTGCCGGCATGCCTTTGGCCTTCATCATGGATCGAGCCATGCCGACCACTGTCTAGTTCCGCCGCTCCACCATGCCATTTGTTGTGGCGAGTACGGCGTGGTGTGGCGTCGCACCACACCTTGATCCACATAGTACGCAGCGAACTCTACCGAAGTGAATTCACCGCCGTGATCAGTCCTCAGCACGCGTAGCTTCTTGCCGCTCTCGGCCTCCGCGCGCATCTTGAACTTCTTGATCGCCGCCGCCGCTTTGTCCTTGCTCGTCAGGAGTTGCAGCCACATGTAGCGACTGTAATCATCCACGAGCAGGAGGAAGTACCACCGACCACCATTTGTGGCTAGCGTGATCGGCCCACAGAGATCGCCGTGGACGAGCTCGAGAGCGTCCACCGTGTGATACTTGGCCATCTTTGGGAACGACAGCCTCCTCTGCTTCTTGGCTAGGTAGCTATCACACAGCTCGCCTCCGTGCTCGATGTGGGTAGCCCTCGGGCCATCTTCTCCAGCCGACCAAGCACGTTGAAGCTGAGATGTTCGAACCGGGCATGCCACAACCACGGCTCCTCGGTGTGCCTTGCCGCTAGGCACACCAGCTGCTCCACCTTCAGGTCGAGCAGGTACAACCAGTTCTGGTACCTCTTTACCTTGGCAAGAAGTCGCTTGCTCCCGTCCCACGATCCTAAGGATACCGTCCTTGATCGATACCTCGCTCCCATGCTCATCCGGTGGCCAATGCCGATGATGCTTGAACACACGCCTATGGGATGTAATATACATCCGTTAAGCGTGGTGCTCGCCGTTCGGCACTTGAAGATGATGGTGTCGCGCCCTCGGATTCCCACCCTTGAGCCGTCACCAAACTTCACCGTCTGCCGTAAACATCGTCGTCGAGCTCGGAGAAGGCTGCCTTGGAGCTCATCATGTGGTTGCTGGCACCGGAGTTCAGATACCACCGCTGCTCCTGGTCATCGCCCACACATTCGAGGTGGACTTGGGCGCGTGGTTCGTCGAGGTTGATAGCCTTTAGGACCTTCCCAGGCCCTTCCACCGCCGTCACCTCTGCCTTCTCCTCGGCCTCAATGTCGTGCAGTGCACAGAACGTCGCCATCAGGATAGTGGTCTCATCCTCATCATCAGTTTGCGTTAGATGAGCCTCAACCTTCTTCTCCTGCTTGTGATTTGGGCACTTCCGTGCCCAATGGCCTGCCTTCCCACAATGCCGGCAGGCGTTGGGGTCGACCTGCTTCTTCTTCTCCGAAGAAGTCTTGCCGTGGCGCTTGCCACCGCCACCGCGGCTGGAGGAGGCTACCCCAGAGTTCCTCCTAGCAGCCTACTCCTCTATCAGCAGCAGCTTACCGCTGTCCTTCATTGCTGTCGCCTGCTCTAGGCGCTCATCCACCGCCCATAGACGTCCTATCACATCCTCAATGGTGAGGGTGGACAAGTGCAACATCATCTCTATGGAGAGAGCGATCTGGATGTACTTTGTCGGCATAGAGTGGAGGTACTTGGAGACCGCCTCCTCTTCGTTGATGGTGACGCCGTGGCTCTTTAGCTTACTGATGAGCGTCTGTAGGCGGAGGAAAAGTCCTCCATCGATTCACCATGCTTGAACTTGAGGTTGGCGTACTCCTGCTTCAGAAGATGGGCTGTCGCCTTCTTTGCGTGGTTGGAACCGACGCGCATCGCCGCAATGGCCTCCCATGCCTCCTTAGTAGAGCTTTTTGCCCCCAACGGCTCCCTGTACTCCGCTGGTACAGCAGCGAGGATAG